CTCTAAAATATTATTAATGACTTTCCGCATATAACAGCATTCCCTTTTTAGGTAAACATATGGATATGTTTACAAATATGAATGAGATAATGCATAAATGAATGAATGAAAATATTAATCAAACAAGTATATTACCTGTCCTTCTGCAGCAACAGAAAGCATTAAGAATTTTAGCCTTGGCACTGTTGAACTGATCCATGTTTTCCAGCAGCTGATCATCCATCTGCATGCACAGAAATGATTAAGTTTCCATTCAGTTTGTTATGACTTAAACTTTGCCTTAAAAAGACAGAGGAAAAAGGGCCAGCTTTTTCTACTCCATCCAAATTCAATGCACAGAACACTTATTTCATCCAGAGGCAACAATTCCCTGAAAAGCACCCTTGCCAATTTAACCAGCAGCACTTCTCCTATACAATACTGGCTCTATGAAAAACAGCTAAATCCACCTTTTCTGAATAGTCATCCCAGCTAGTGGCAAGTTTAGAAATTATAGCTTGGCAGCAAGTGGCAGAGAATCCTAAGTTTTAACTGCCATTTCTCAAGGAAGGTCTTTTTTTACCGAATTCAGATTTTGGCACATTTGCTCTCACCAGTGACACCTGGTTTTCATCTGAGCACTCCAGGCTCCAAATAAAGAAGTTACGCAGGCTGTAAATGCTGTTATCAAATCTCCTTTTGGCAAGCCTCAAATAAAGTCCTCAAGTATCCAGGCAGCCAGCTGGTCAGTTGATTTACCTGAGACATTAATAGACCTCCTTTTGTAACTGAGCATCTTCACATCTTAACACTCCATCGGTCTGCCAGAAATTTGGCAAATTAAATACAACCATCACATAGCTCACCTGGATAGCACGCGTCTGCCAGTAAAAGTCAAACTGGCAATCAATCTGGGCTGTATGTAATTTGCATACAGTAATTGGTCAAAGCATCATTACCATGACAATGAAGCTGGTCAAAACAATATCACACCAGAATTGCAAAGCTCAATCTGCAAGAAGTTGAAAGTGTAAATTCAATATGGGCATCACTTTTTCTCAGCAACAAAAATCAAACATTGCCAAATACACCCAAACACTGTTAGCGCCTAAAATAAAATGCATGTACTAACATCCATTACTATGATGCTTGGAAATAACCAGTTACAGTTCAACGTAAATTATTGACATTAAGTCGGACAGCCACCTAATGACTGTTCAGCTTTTTTACGTTTCCTGTTTGTTGAAAAAACATTTCCATATCATTTTTATGCACACCTGTTTCCGTAAATTCAATGTGCCATTACAGGGGAATACACTGATGCCAAATGAAATATTCCTGTATCTGTGATTATCACTTCTATCTAAAATTATTGCCTGTATCTTTCCTGATCTGAAGTCCAGATGGTATATCAGCCTAGTCCTTCCTTAACCTACAGGTCATCAAGCTGTGTCCAGCTGGCTTGAGAAGTATCCCCTCCCTCCTAACACAAAATATACACATCATTATGTAGCAATCAGCAATAGCAATAACAGTAGGATGACAGCCCCACAGACCACCTACAACTAACCACCATACTAGAATATCAAGACAGAATGCTTATCAGCAAAGACCACCAAAATTTACCGAGCACTGAACTTTTGATTTGTTATAATTTAATTAACTTTCAAAACAGGCAAATCCACTGTGATAACATCTGTTCCCTTGAGATTATTTCCTCACTAAAAACATACCAAGAGCTATTCTGTGACCAGTCGTGTCCAGTTTGTAAATGATATTGCACCTGTTTCTTAAGTCTACAAGTCATTAAAAAACACATTTCAAGTAAAAAAAAAAAAGGGGGGGGGGACTACTTTTAAATATGGACCTTGTACATAAGATAAAAATCTTAATGAAATCAAGGTGCTTCAATAACTGTTTATATATCGTCATCTTGATGGCTAATTACTTCATTACAGAGGGTATAACTAAAACTCAAACTGCCAATAGGAGAACCAGTTATACTGCATGATGAACTGGAGTTAAAAACTATTCCTGTCATGATCATTTTTTAACCTTCACAAATAAACATAAGTAATGCTAGGTCATGTACACGGCTATTGTTCTAGCCAGACCTTTCATCTTCTAGACTGAGGAAGCTCTTGGTCATGGACTGGTGGCTTTGAAGGCTGCAGGCAAAGCAGACAAGAAACAAATGTTACACAGGTTGCCTGAGGTTCAGCTAGTTTTATAGTTAATGTCATTGAGTTCTCTGGCAACAGGTGAGCAGCTGCAGATGATAACACATATGATACAGGCAACACTGGGAAACAATACAGATATTTTTAGATTAGACAGTTAAATATCCTATAACTGTGCATTTTCTGATCTACAGACATTCATGGCGGTAGTTTTCTAACATTCCTTTATCTATTTTTTAAACTTTCACACAAATTGTTCTCCAAAAATATCATCTTCATAAAATTATAGTTCGAAAATATTTCTAGTGACCAACAGATTATTCCAGTGTATTATTAGCATAACAACAACGCTGTTGCTTTCATCAAAGTCTTTATCTGTAAAAATAATGATTAAAATCATCTTTCAAAGCAACTTTAGTCCATTAACAAAAACTAAATTAGAAGAAAATACATTGTGCATTCCTAAACAAGGTCAAATTACAAACAAATTATCAAACCCTTTCCCATTAAATCATTACTTAATAAAATCCTTACCCTTAACAGCCAGATTTGAGGATGTTGACAGAGATGATGCTTGATCCATTTTTACTCACAATTAACTTCTTCAAGTGTTGGAATGCAATTATTTTGAAATATTGAGCTTCAGGAATGAACTCTGTTGGCCTGTCATTTACCACTGACTGCCACAAGTATGACGGAAGAACACATGACTAAATGTACTGGAGTCACATTATCTACCATGTTAGTGGATGTTACATCCAATTCTGACAATCAACTTTAATCAATTTAATTTTAATTCTAGCTGAATCATGAGTTATATTAGTCACTGCAGTACAGCAGACATCACACAGCTAATGCAATCACAACAAAAACATTCAAACAACACACTGGCAATTGAAGCAAAATTTTGTCAATCATACAAAAATTGAACAAAATAAATCATTTCTCAAACCACATTACAACACCAAAATTCACTTACTCTGTTTCAGATCCACTGTGGGTATAGAAAAAAACACAGAACATATTATGATTGAACAGCAAAGTCTGCTTGGAATGTTTCCATCCTTTTTGAATTCTGTCCATCATGCAACAAAATTTATGACAAGTGAGTCATAAATTTGATATTTGCATGCCACAGCATACCCAATCAAATAATGCTATTCACGACTTCATAGTTAATAGCTATTTAACGAGCAGACTAATTTCTTTTAAGAAGTTCATAATGAATACAAATTATCCCTTAAGTTATGACCTTTTAAATGTAACGGTTATGGCTCTTTAAATTATTGTTATACTCACAAATATTTACTGCATCTAAAATTAAACCTGGCCAAAACTGCAAAAATGACATTACTTACACCCCATTCTCATAGATTAGATCGACCTACATTGGATCGACCTAACTCCCTGGGGGTTCACGCTAAATAGCTGTCAGCCGGGCGGACACGAAAGTTAATTACCCCTTATAGCTTGTAGTAGGCGGGGACGGACACTTAAGGCGGATTATCTGNGGGGGGAGGGGGGGTGGGACTACTTTTAAATATGGACCTTGTACATAAGATAAAAATCTTAATGAAATCAAGGTGCTTCAATAACTGATTATATATCGTCATCTTGATGGCTAATTACTTCATTACAGAGGGTATAACTAAAACTCAAACTGCCAATAGGAGAACCAGTTATACTGCATGGTGAACTGGAGTTAAAAACTATTCCTGTCATGATCATTTTTTAACCTTCACAAATAAACATAAGTAATGCTAGGTCATGTACACGGCTATTGTTCTAGCCAGACCTTTCATCTTCTAGACTGAGGGAGCTCTTGGTCATGGACTGGTGGCTTTGAAGGCTGCAGGCAAAGCAGACAAGAAACAAATGTTACACAGGTTGCCTGAGGTTCAGCTAGTTTTATAGTTAATGTCATTGAGTTCTCTGGCAACAGGTGAGCAGCTGCAGATGATAACACATATGATACAGGCAACACTGGGAAACAATACAGATATTTTTAGATTAGACAGTTAAATATCCTATAACTGTGCATTTTCTGATCTACAGACATTCATGGGGGTAGTTTTCTAACATTCCTTTATCTATTTTTTAAAACTTCCACACAAATTGTTCTCCAAAAATATCATCTTCATAAAATTATAGTTAGAAAATATTTCTAGTGACCAACAGATTATTCCAGTGTATTATTAGCATAACAACAACCCTGTTGCTTTCATCAAAGTCTTTATCTGTAAAAATAATGATTAAAATCATCTTTCAAAGCAACTTTAGTCCATTAACAAAAACTAAATTAGAAGAAAATACATTGTTCATTCCTAAACAAGGTCAAATTACAAACAAATTATCAAACCCTTTCCCATTAAATCATTACTTAATAAAATCCTTACCCTTAACAGCCAGATTTGAGGATGTTGACAGAGATGATGCTTGATCCATTTTTACTCACAATTAACTTCTTCAAGAGTTGGAATGCAATTATTTTGAAATATTGAGCTTCAGGAATGAACTCTGTTGGCCTGTCCCTTCCCACTGACTGCCACAAGTATGACGGAAGAACACATGACTAAATGTACTGGAGTCACATTATCTACCATGTTAGTGGATGTTACATCCAATTCTGACAATCAACTTTAATCAATTTAATTTTAATTCTAGCTGAATCATGAGTTATATTAGTCACTGCAGTACAGCAGACATCACACAGCTAATGCAATCACAACAAAAACATTCAAACAACACACTGGCAATTGAAGCAAAATTTTGTCAATCATACAAAAATTGAACAAAATAAATCATTTCTCAAACCACATTACAACACCAAAATTCACTTACTCTGTTTCAGATCCACTGTGGGTATAGAAAAAAACACAGAACTTATTATGATTGAACAGCAAAGTCTGCTTGGAATGTTTCCATCCTTTTTGAATTCTGTCCATCATGCAACAAAATTTATGACAAGTGAGTCATAAATTTGATATTTGCATGCCACAGCATACCCAATCAAATAATGCTACACACGACTTCATAGTTAATAGCTATTTAAGGAGCAGACTAATTTCTTTTAAGAAGTTCATAATGAATACAAATTATCCCTTAAGTTATGACCTTTTAAATGTAATGATTATGGCTCTTTAAATTATTGTTATACTCGCAAATATATACTGCATCTAAAATTAAACCTGGCCAAAACTGCAAAAATGACATTACTAAGAGGTATTATTTACAGCATTCATTCTGAAGAGCACATTTGCTTCAAAGTTTAAGTCGACTTCAATTCAGATGGATATAAATATCAAGAAGTCTTGATATTTACCCATAATCAATAAAATAATATCAAATGTACCAAAAAAGAGAAGAAAATTCTGTTAAATCAATCATACCTGAAAAGGGGTTATTTGCATCTGCCTTGACAATATCTGGGGAAGTTTCCTTTTTCCTTCTGATCACAGTTACATTCTCAGCATTATCTTCTGGTCGTAAATTTTCTTTTTCTTCCCCAGCATCTTTAACACTCTGAGTTCTTGTAACTTTCTCTGATTCAGAAATATTTTTCTCACTTTCAGTTTTATCTTTGTCTTGGTCTTCACTTAATTGAACATTGTCAACTTTTATCTGTTTATTCTCTCCTGTCAGTTTTGATGCAGCTTCACTTTTAGGCTGTTTGTCAGTAACTTCTGGAAGACTCTTTTCCTCTTCTGTAGTGGCCCCAGCACTATTTTCTGCAGAACTGCTGCTCTCCCCCAGGGCCTGGAGATATGCTGGTTCTGTTATAGTTTCGATATCTCTAGACTGGCGTTTCTCCTGCAATGAAAATATAGTAACATGATATTCAGAGAGATAAAAAAATCATTGAATCTTAAAAAGTAAAGTAAGGTTAATTAATAAAGAGCATGAACTATTAAGAACCAGGGGTCGGTTGATAAATGTGGTCACAATCCATCCTACCACTTCCTACTGTCTAAATATATATCCCATTGGAGGATGCAACCTTTACCCAGCAACCTTAAACAGGGTTCTCCTTCACCATCATAAAACATTCTTCCATACCCATTATGTGTGTTATAATTAGTTTTCTAATACTAACAAACAATGTACATATGATCCAAACATAAATTTAACTTTATAAAAACCTTGACTGGTTTTCATATTTGGAAAAGTTCAGACCAGGTCACCAACCTGTGGGTTGATCTTTTCATGTATGCCCAGCTCTGCAGTGTGGGGTGAGGGTGGTGGGAAGTCAGGGGTGGGGGGTTGTACATAACCTGTGGGGCTGAGTGGAACATTACGCTCAGGCTTCTTTCTCCTGGTAAACTCCAGGGTTGGTGGTGGCTTGTTTGGACAAGGATCTGAAAAGAAAGCTTTATAGTGTCTTGGATGATCCTTAACTGGAACAGTTTTGTCCATTTGTCAGGTTTGCCACTGGAGGAGAATGAAGGTAAATGGAAAGCAGGAGTTTGACATACAGCTTAATCCTGGGGACAATCTGACAAAAATTTAAGGACCTATGTGAAGACAAGTTATACTCAATCCTCTTATAATGGTAATTAGATTTATATTGAAGTGGGAACAAAAAATATTAATCAAATGACAAATTTGTTTGGAGTGGATATTAAATGTCGAGAATAAATAAAACTATAATCGATAAATCTATTTTCTCCTTAAATTTTACTGCTACTCAGGTTAACTTGTCAGTTAACCTGCTGTAACATTAGTACACAGGGTACTGTACTTCCTACATTACAGTTATGATTGTTAGTTCTTCCATTCTATTATATATCTAAACCTATACCCAAGAACTGTTGGTAAATTCACAGCATGCAGGATTTCTTGTGAACAATTACATGAAGAGTTGTACTGCATGTATCATAAGGCAAGCAACATAGCAAATCATACTATTTTTTTGAATGTTAAAACTGGGAAATGTTATGGAAGGTGAAATATCAACCAGAGTTTCTGAGCCATTGTGGACCAGCTTCTTCATTTTCAATTTTTCTTGTCATGAATAAACTACAATGGCAATTGATTTAGTTTACCACAACAATCACAAATGTCAGATGGCTCTATCAATTATATCATGTCTTTCTACAGAATCCAGAGGACTAGATGCATTTTTTGTGACTGACGTAGTTAACTCCAATCTAAGTGAATGTCAGAGTCTAATTAGCACACATATATGGAGACTTAAATATGAGGTTACTGGCATGCACGGAAGTCAGGGTATGAAATATGCAACTTGGTTCGATAATAAAATGTCAATTATGGACAAAAGTCATGTCTTAGCCAATTTTTTGATAAATGACACCACCAGCATCAAAGATAATACAAACCCTTAATCACTTCCTCAGGCTTAACCCACATGACTTACACTTGGCTTGTATAATGAAGGTATCATAAACCAAAGCAAAAAGACCTGCAATTCAGAATATCTTACCTTCTACAACACCCACATCCTCTGCACTCTCCTGACCACCTGAGCCCATCTGGCTGATATTTTGTGGAGACACATTTTCGTAAGTCTCACCTACTGCATTCTTGGAGTCTCTGGTACTGAGAGGCACAGGATGCACCTCAGTGGCACTGCTGTGAGAAGCTACGGTTTCAACATTTGTGTACAATTCTGCTTGAGGCTGAGGTTGCTTGCTACGCTGGGGGTAGTTAGGTTTCTTGTTCAAATTTTCATCAGCTTTGGGACTCATTAGCTCATAAAACTCAACTGAAGATCTTCCCAATGGCTGACTAGCAGAGTCTCTTTCTGATGTTTGCATCTGAACAGATTTAATTATGTCCATGCTGGTTTCTGTGTCTAGGCTGACATTTTCATAACTCTCTCTTGGTGATGTCCCCAATGTCATTTTAGGGGAAGATGACAGTTTTACCTCTATACCATCAAGGCCTCTTTCAAGAGTTCTCCTTCTTGGTGGTTTAGTAGGAACTGCAGACTGAGAATAAATAATTAATTAAAATCCCTTGATTATCATGATCAATCTATATTTAAATTCTGCAATACATTGTAGCAGAATAAATCATTATCTTTCCTTTTCTCTAGAGCAAAAAAAAAAAAAAAGGCACCTGCAAGTGATTCATGATATTTTCCGTGTCATGAACAGAAAGAAAGTCCTTACAGACTTCTTTGAAGAGAAGAGAAAATACTTACAGATTTCTTAGTGGTTTCTTTCTGCTGCTGAGATAGGATTCCCCCCATGTTCATATAACTGGAGGTATTGCAGGCACCAGGCTGGGGAGGGGGAGGAAGAAGCTGAGCTGACTCTGGTTCTGGAACTGGATATAAAATTTACATTATAATATCACTGTTACGGCAGTAACTTCTCCTCCATGAAAAATATCAAAATGACTGATGCTGTACAGATCTTTGAAATGCATAAATCAACATAACACAATAAATTCAATGCAAAACAAAACATGCAACAAGACCTTTCTTTTTATGGCAAACTTTTAAGCACTAGGGTATTCGCAATGACAATTAATATGCAGAAAATTCTGGAATTGGATGTTAAACAGGATTAATGGGCCTGAAAAAATGCTATCTGTCTGTGAAGATGCACTCACAGATAATCTCCACTTTCATGCTAATTTTGCTCCCCTTGAGGGTTAAAATTGAATTGATAAATCATTGCTCCCACATCTGGGAAATCAGTGCTGTGAAACTCTCTGCTAAATGTCACCACCCCCACTGAATTTCAATGAATCTTTCATAATCCTCACCTCTGAAATAAGTGATATGTCTACATATACAACTGGGTGCCTAGATGAAACACAGAATTTTTAAACTATGCCAGAGAATGTCCCATATCACTGATGTNTGAGATCGTCACATATCACTGATGTTAACAATGAATATTCAAAATAAAATTGTGTTACTATGATAAAGCATCTGTCTTAGCAACTTTCTAACATCTTTTTCATATGCTTCAAGGATTTTAAGTGCCAATTAAGTATTTCCCTGTCTGCTGAGAGGCAGGAAAAATGACAAATCATGTATAATCAGCACATGGCTCTCAAAAGTATGAATAAAAGCACACAGCTGTTTGAAAAGCTAATGGTAATAGGCCTAACCTTATATATATATATATATATATATAGCATGTCTTTTCACACTTCAACTTTTCATAACATTTTACAAATGCAAGTCATTTTACACTCATGGCTGAAGGGACAGCAGCTGTTGAGAAGTCAATACCAAATCATCAGATCCATGCCATGCAACATAATGCACGATAATCTCTGATAAATGCCAATGAAGATGACTGAGCAGCTAGAACAAATTACTTGGAATATTTTAGTTGTTTGAGGCAATGATGTCTGGCATTTGGCCATGGAGGATATTAAATGATAAAACTGCTCTGATTCTCTGGCTATCAGAAAGGTTTGAAAAAGATAAATGGTCTACATTGTTCAATGTTCATAGCTGTAGTTTCATAAACTAATTAGGAAACTAAATTTAACAAAATGAACATATGAATAAAACGAGTCAAAGTATATTTTTCAAAAACATTTTAACTCTTTTCTTTTTTTGAAAACTGACTTTGCACTTAATGACAAGACTTAAAATTTTCCTTATCTTTACTCTAACTGGTTCAGCAGCATTCCTCAAAATTGTACCAACATCATTATTGCTATTGTAATCAAGTCCCATTGCCCTGTCTAGTATTAGTGCACTAGAATCAAGTTCTAATCTATCTCTCTTATTGAACACATCATAGTGATATAGGTGCTAAGCTTGGAAACTGAGAACAAAGAAAAACATTCTGTCTGATAAATACACTCCATTTTAATTAAACAAAATAACCAATTTTAGCTTTCAACAACAGCCACATATCTGACATTAAACTAGGACTAGCTGTTACAATGTCTGAGTGTTCTTCCCAATACAATAAATAAGCTAGACTGCAGTTATAGGATATCACAAAAGTGTAAGTGGGAGATATGCACATGTCCTCAATTTATTCCTCTTTTACAGATACCCAAGACCAGTTGTTTTCCTAAACCTAAAGTAAAAACTCAGTGAGAGTTCTGTGGGATATAATAGTTGGCATAAAACGGCAGTCATTTTGGAAAAAAAAAAAAAACTGTCACTTTATGCATATCCCTATGTTCTTAAAGTCATAATAACTCTTCGTTTTGGCCAAAAATTGGATTTTCCTGGAAAAAACGGCAATTTTCCCGTACTTACCAATGGCCAACGACCCCATTCCTGCATTCAAAGTTAATCCAGGTTTTTTTCCTAAACGTACGTTTTTTTGTTAAAATCTCTTAAGAGATTTTAACTGACGGAGCTCTCTCTGACATTGCAAAGTCACTGGTGACCTACTTAAAACCGTGGGAAAAGCAGACAACAACAACACTATATAAGATTCATGAGATATTTTCGTCTTTTTGTTAAAAATGCATTTATATCCACAATGTGTGCCATTCTGGGCTTTTCGTTATCCGACGCACTGTACAAAAACTCGCAACTTACGTCTGAGGGTTTCCCGCCATGTTATTTTGGTCTCGAATGAACGCGAGAATCGGCGTGACACCATTACATCATTAGCAACGAATGCACTTGTCGACCGGAAAAAAGGGAGCGAAAGCCCTATTGACAAGCACAGATTTTAGTTTTCCTACAATAACGGCCGTTTTAGTGGTAAAATACAATAGAATATATTTCCATGCGTTGTTTACAATGTATTTCATGCGGATTTTTGAATCTCAAAGGAAGAGTTATTATTGCTTTAATGAAAATATGACTAATATAATCGTAATTATACATTTGGAGACTTACTGTTCAATAAGCAACTGTGCATTCAATCAGCATATCATTAATCATTTTAGTAATGTAGTCTCATTCCTAGAGGTTCTTCAGTCTATCGTATATAGTTGTACGAGGCATCTTTAAGATGCCTGCCTGCTTGCCATACTTCACCCAAGCACTGCATTAACGTTCTAATTAATTATTCTCTGTACTCAATACACCTGCATTCCCAGATGTTACACAAACACATAAATGTCAGGGATTCCTATTAACCGTTTTTTTTTCTCTCTTTATTACCCCTGTACAATAAATTTTGCTGGAAGTCGATCGTACCCCTGTTTTGAATGTGAACTGGTTGAAATCCAACCATTACACTTTCTTGTACCTTTAAGTTGAAGATCAAAGTAGAAAAATCTAAGCACCAGATGTACACTTAAAATGTCTTTGATATCACATCATCTCCAGAGCAGGCCAGTCAGATACCTTATCCATTTTATGACATTTCATAAAAAGCCTGTAGCCAGTCAAAACCAAAGAAACATGATCGATTCAAAGCTGAATTATAGTTCCTGATATAGAAACTGTTATAAGCAATTCATACACAAATGAATATCTTACAACAGGCTGGTGACCAAAAGTGGTGAAGGTAGTGATGAAATGTGTTATTATAAATCATCTTACCTTTCCTAAGAAGTGCAGATGGCACGTCATACAGGTCATCTGTGTCTTCCTGGTACAGATCTCTGGGAGGAACTGCAGGAACATCTACAGAGCTGCAGGTACTGAGCACACTAGAAATAGAAATATTCAAATGTGATAAAAAAACACTGATATTACACTTTAAATTCTTCTCCAAACCTTATTGTTCCATTTTTTTTTTTTTTTGCTCAGTTAAAAAATCTCTGTGTTGTACTGAGGCTGGGCTCTGTAATAAATATGAATTTAAATCATGACAATATGTTGGAAAATCTTTCTTTTTTCAGAGCTTACTGTGCCACTTAACTCTAAGGCACATGATTAAAGTAGTCCCAGTACCATATAAATATGTCTAGTCTAACCATTCTACGTGCTCTAATGCTTTTTAAACTGTTACTTTTTCCAAGCAGTTTTACCCAGGTTCTATTGCATCACAGAAAGATAAATAACCATGAAATGTGCATCTAAACTGCATTAACTAGACAGAATATATATCCAGTTCAGCAGGAACTAAAACCTCACCATTTCAAACCACAAAGAACAATTTGTTTGAACTGCTGCAAGTTACTGAAGGTACAACAATACAATTAGTTACTTTTTAAATCACTGCAATGAACATGATATCAGGCTTTTAGTTGACGAAATCACTGAAAGTTCATGGGTAACAGGATATCTATATGCATTATAATTTCAAAACATGACCAAAGATCAAATCCAATATTTCAATATTGGTAGACCTTTCACATCAAGCTCTAGCTGACTGAGCAAGAAGTGACAGCCACACAACAGAGCCATTATTTTGACATCTGGCACTGGAAACAGAACAGTAATTCTTTTATGTACACAAAAAAGAAAATAATAAATAAATAAAATAAAAAATAAAATAAAATAAAATAAAATAAAAATAAATAAGAATAATAAAATAATAAGCCAAATGGAAAGCAATTATCTATCTTCTTAATGTTTAGGTTAGATTTTTGAAGTGAAAACATGTCTCTGATGTTATCTATCTTCCTTGATGCACACAGATTTAATTAACAGAAAAGGAAGTCTCTCGTGTCAGTCTGAATGCATACAAAACATCAATAGATCTAAAATGGGTGTCCGTTTTGGGACTTGTAACATGGTTAAACTGTTGATCTTATCAAATGGATCAATGATACTTTCTTTCCTTATGAAACCAAATCTAACAAACAAAATACATTCCAGACCCAGTGATATTCAGTTTTTGTCAGCTGGTTTATGTAAGACTACCTATAATCAACCCTCTAAAGCAACTTGATAAAACAACTTACTGTTATGTTTTGTGTATTTTTGTAATATTCAGCTTTTTTTGAATTCTTGACCAAAACAAAAAATGTAATAGATTACTATATTGTGCAGTAAAAATGAATGAATTTATACATACCTCTCTATACCTCTCTATCCAGTAAGAACTACATATGATAAAAACACTTTCAGAAAACTCCTCATTCCTGTATGCTTTCAGAAATCCATAATGAAATTCACAGGCAATGTCCCTCTCTTTGTATAGCAAATTCAATAAGCCTAGGCAATATCAACAATCATTTTTCACATCCCAGCTTGAATCTGAAGTCAGCCAGTTACCAGTAGCTGCTATATACATAGAATCTTCATCTTTCATAAAACCATGGACTTGTGATCAACAAGGCACTGTTCCAGTTGCACAGTGAGAGTTCCTCAAATCTCATTAAACTGTTTTCCCCAGGAGAGGTACCTAACAGACTGAAGGAATCAATTTGGGAACAATTCTAACCTTCCGTCAAAATCAGGTAGCATAGATCTCCACTTACTCTGATGACAAACAGACATAGAAAACTCTCAAATTCTCAGCCAACACAGTCGCCTTAAAGCTTGTGCACACAGATCAAGTTCATACCTGGCATCTATTTTATTCTATTTCTGGTCAATAATCCAGACTTCTATCAGCTGTCAGCTACAAATAATTTGTTTCGCGTTGTCACTGATGGCTCCTCCAAGTACTGAAGGCAGCAGACCATTTGTGGGGAAAAGAAAATCTATGGACATCTATAGCACATGGGTCAGCTCAGAGTGAGCACCAGTTGTTTTACATGTCTAGGGAAAACATGATCATACATATTAATGTATAATTTAAAATAATAAGCTGGCTTAACTTTTAAAGTTAACACTTTCTCCTACAAAGTTAAAACTGCCATTGTTGTAATTTATTTTAAACTAAATCCAGGTAAGAGACTGATCTTACTCATGATGGTAATAGACATTTTCTTAATCACACGGTGATTTATATCACAATAGATTTAAATAACTCTTTACTTAACTCAATTTTTTAAATGAACAAATAATCAGGGTATCTTTGAAGCAATAAGACGTATGTCTCTGTAGAAAATGAAACATAATTTGGGCAAACAAATCCTTCATTCCGAAACTAGTTCTCCCATAACAAAATAATGATGGCAGTGTAATTTCTTTTGCTATATGTATCTTATTTTCTTTATCATATCACTGCCAGTTGCCTGCATTTTATTGCTTCATTCACATCACAACCAATGAAGATTATAATTGGCTCCCCCAGTTTCTTTCTTCAGCAATGGTCTCTTCTGTAAGTTAGACACATCTTCTTCCCACCACTAATGTAATAAAGCTACTGGTGACAGCTACAAGCTTATTTCATTAATGGTATGCTTCTGGACTTGTAAATCTGATTTTCTCTAACTCTAGCTAAAGCCTAGTCAGCCTTTCTCATGAAAATAACCAAGCTTCATGTGTGGTGATAATGTGTTCAGTGAACTGCATCCCAAGTTATGACAATATGATCACCTACCTCTCTAGAGGAAAGCAGTAACCAAGCTATACTGGGCATGACAAATGCATGTTTATTGAAACAATAATGGTCAAGATGGGCCTCCTATAGCCAACTGTTTGTGTGGCCAACACATAACTGTCCATGAAAAAGAGATTGCCCTTTCTTTTTCCTGTACACATCCTTAGTCATTATACTGCATGGACAAATAATCAATGATTATTAAATGATGGTTGTCTTAATGGAGGTCAGATATTCATTTTAATTGTTGGAGTACTTATCTTCATCCCCAATTAACCATCCCTCATAATTAATGAGGTAATTAAAATAGATCCCCCTCTAATACCAAGTCAATGTAAATGGATATGTAATGTCCATATTTATTAATCAAAGTTAATTGACCATATGGGAGGTTTGATCAATTGGCCATTATGAGATTTTAAAGTCATGACCATCCTCTTGGCTAACTTATCAAAGAAACTGATGGGCATTCAGCATCCATGAATGAAATTATGGCAATTAAACTAGGTACCACAAAGAAGTGACGTTTTATAAAATACTTTCACTGCACTAGGTTATTTTTTATTTAATCAGAATTGACTAAAATATGTAATTGCTTATCAGTTCACATTTCCTCAAGCTGAGATTTAATTATATTATTAGCATTAAAAAACCAATTTACACTTTTAGAATGCCAAATGCTATCTAATTTACAAATACTAAGAACCAATTACTTACATGTTCTTAACGTGAGTTCTTAAATTTGATATTTACAAAATTCCTATAATTAGTCTGTATATCCATTTCTGCGGACTTTTCCACATCTTCATTCATGTGATCCTGATGCAATAACTCAATTAAAATCTAGCATGGCTCCTTTAAAAGAAAATAACATGAACAGATAGAAAAATCAAAGTAAAAAATATATGTTCTTACCTATCATGCTTAATTTCAGCTTTTTTATCTTTATTGACCTTGGAATATAGGTTTGACTTCCTCTCCTCTGTTACCTCCTCCCCATACCCTGAATGAGGCTCCTCTCCCTTAGACACACTGGACCCAGAGCGAGGCTTTGGTACGGGGCGTGGTGGTGGTGGTTCTGCATATGTGTCATCATCATTATCATCACTTTCTTCTGAAGCTGGCTTTCCACTGGAAGACATATTTGTTGGGAAGGTGGAAATGGAGCTGCCATTTGCCTCAACTGGAGGAGGAGGTTCATGATAAATCGCCTCTGTGTTATTGTCATCTTGAACTGCTTGGACTAGTTCATAAATATTGCTCCGAGGCTGTTGTTTTGCTGAAGCTGCACGCTTTATCATTGTGGGGTCAGTAGGAAATAATGATGCTGAGGGTGGAACTTCCAGATTTGTGGGTTTCTGGGAAGGTTTTTCTGTGGGAAGGATTTCCTCAAAGGGTAGCTGCTTTCTTCTCATATAATCTGCAAGTAATGAGATTAAATATGTTATGATTCTAATAAAAGTACCTTTAGTGCATTTGGTACCAAATTACAGCATAATACACCCTGACAATAACTATTTTTCAGTGCTGGAGTCAGGGGGACCTTTCTTTGCCTGGAGGCATTTACAGTTACTTTAAAGTTTCTAAAAACAATTCCCTGTAATGAAACAATAACCTAAACAATTATATTTCTTACAAGAAAGATCAGAAAATTTAAACACCATAGATTAATAGTCCGGCAACTCTATATACAAGCAATGCAAGTGAGGAATACTTAGCTTTAAAACATAATATTAAACAAACAAGAATATACATGACCTAATCTAACTTGTAAGGTACATGATGTACATGCATTATTTATAAACATCTTCAGCAAGGCGCCATTTGCCCAGTCCCTTGTGGACTCTGCAGTAGTGTCAGATGTACATGTAAAGGATTACCCAGTACTTACATGTAACCCTAGATGTTCCAATCAATAGACTTAAATATCAAAAGCATGCAACATGTGTTGAAGTAAAAATGGATAATTCCCCATACAAATATTCACCCATTGATAAAATGTCAGCATAAAACCAGTGATCAGTGTGGTTTTGCACAACTGTTATTCTATGCAGATAACATTCACCAAAAGATTAAAATGTACATCAGTGATGGGAAGTCTATCAGGAAAACGAGTCAATATCCCCTCTGAGCCTCGTATCTTGTACAAAATGGGAAATTAGAATGGGAAATTTAGACCTGAGAAGACTGTACTGGCAATACCCTCTAGACAGCATGCAACAATGGTGATTAATGGCCCAGAATTCTCTGTATGGAAACAAACTTCCAATATTGACATTTAAGTTGCACTTTGTCTGTTGCCTGCTCACTCACTGTATTTGCAACATTCTATTTTTTCCTCTTTTTTTTTAACAGGTGACAAGTATACAATTAACCATCACAGAAAATATGAACTAATGGCTGTAAATGAAGACAAGCTGCCCAACAAGACAAAAGCCTAGAATTGTGCCTTACATATATCCGTACTTACAGTTACTAATGCAAAATAATCAAGAGGCATTCCTTACCATCACATACATGTAATTTAATGTACAGAATAATACAACATTCTATGCATTCTGACAACACATTCATAAACAGACAACAAGGGTTGATAAGGCAGCTATTTATCAATAGTAAGTTAATTAGATGAGAAATGCCATCCTGGTTTCTTGGTTGCCTAGCTTCCAACAACATGCTGGAATTGATGGCTCCCCGATGACTTCTAGTTTGCTACATGTATGAATGGGACAGAAGGCACTTTTTTATTTCTTTTATTCCAGACACACTCTTGCATTCCATAATGCCAAAAATTAATACTAAAATAAATAAAATTCTTGATCATCTTGGGGATTACATCATCTGGAGAAGAGGCACCCAACTAAATATGAAGCACTGAATGCTCAATATATCCACAAAAATGATGTCCTCAGGAGACTTTTATTTGACTTATATTATGCTTACTCTCTAGATACTCCATCATTATTTCTGGTATCATAATCTTAAGGTAAACTGCACATTATATACCTGCAGATACCAAGTGGCAAGGATATAGGACATGTTCTCCACATTGCTTTGGCTAATTATGCACAACAATCAATAAGATGCACCATTAGCACATGGCTAAGGATAACACACAAACTATGGTGGCTTTTGTCTGAAATATTGGAACAGTTTTCTTTTTTTACATGTAGACTATGTTCCCCAGGTTTGAGATAAAACTTTTATGACCCAGTTTCAGCTCAGTGAATGTTCATCCAACATGAAAAATTATGATTGTTACCCCCTTCACATTACAAGTCAGACATCACATTGTGGTTGTGCCAAGTAAGAAGGTTATCAAACTGAAGCATATCATATTGGGTGTAAGTTTTTGCATAGCTAGTAAAAAATTAAACAAAGTGAGATCTCTTAGGAATATAAATACTCAGCAATGATACCAAGTCTTCTTCCTGGTTCTCATAAAATCATGATCCCCAATGTATAGAAAACAGCAGACATGAAGGCTGGACGCTCTATAATCCATGGGCAATAGTGGGATGCAAGCACAAGATAAAACAAATCACTACCCACCAAATGATTTATCAATAGCTGTTGCATCTAAATGTCTCATTCCAATCCCATCCAAATGCACAGTCATTTCTTTTATGGTCAATTGGAGACAATAATGTATAGGAACATCCATTAGGACCAGCTTCAGCCTATGAAATGTCCATACTGAGTGCCTTTTAATAAGATTGCCAATATTGCTTTTTTAACTGCTTACTGTACAATGCAATCCTGAATTATTCATCAAAATCCATGACACTTATTCACCAACTTTCAGTGATAAGGATAATATATAATTACCATTTTTCCTACAAGACCCAGTCACAATGGTTGCCAAAATTCACCGACATTCCGATTAAAGAGAGAGCACACCAGCAAAATGTGACATATCAACTGTGGCAATGGTATATTAAAGATCAGCTTGTTAAAAGAAGTCCAAATTGCCCCCAAGTCATCTCAGAGCTCACAACAGTTCATTTTACCCCATTGTATAAGCTCACCTTGTAAGATATGTACTGTGTCCAATGTGGCCTGGGTGGCTGACCTGTGAGAATGGAACAAACCTAGTGCAGTCTTGTGCTCTTGATTCTTGATCATAGGGTTGATGCCTGATCAAATACAAGTAATAAATGAAGAGACAGAGTGACCAATACATACTTAAACAGCCCTTTTTAATCATTTGTTCACACCAGGACAGTCGGGCTTGCTGAAATATTTTAATGGTTTTAAGGTGAAAATCAATGTAATAAGCTGGTCCTTTAAAAGCTTTTAAGTGCAAAGTACATGGATAATCTGCTACACTTTGTGTTCTGTGAATGCTATAACAGGCAATGGTCATAATTATTGAAACATGTAATTGAAATATCCATTAATTACCAGGTATTAAAACTTTAAATATGGTAAATATTGAACAGATAACACTTCACAAATACAGTGCTGGATATTCTTACCCCTGTCAACTAGAAGTCTAACAACCCCGACCTTGCAGAACAAAGCTGCTTCATGCAGTGCTGTGCCAGTCTCAGTCTGAAAAATGTCAATTTATACTAATATACATTTATTTCATGACACACCTGCAATAGGGCATCACATTCATGCAAAGATGATAATGCTCAGGGGCGGATCCAGAGATATTTTCTGACAGTCTTCCAAATTATCTTTGTTGATCCATTTTTGACCGTCTTCCGACAGAAAATATTAGATGCCCGACAATGTAAACTTGAAAATCTGACTGTCTTCCGGAAGACCCAGAAGACGACCTAAATCCGCCCCTGATGCTTTCTCTTGTAGACCAAAATGCCAATATTGCATTATTGATGGCTTGTTAAAAAATTCTACAGTGGCATCAGAGATACTTTTGCTATAATACATAAAAATCATCTTCCTCTGACAGGACAATTTAAACTCCATTCTAGATTATTGTAAACACAATACTCAACAATGCCAGAAATGTAAGATTGGATTCAAATAGAACATTCACTTGATCAATGGATTTGGATGATGAAAGTTGTATGTGAATAATTGTAAGTTTTAACAATGTTTTTTAACATTAAAGTTAGAGCTAAGTAAATAACAAGCATTTATTTATATAATTACCACAGGTAATGACATGATTTCCAATAAAAGGTTTGAAAAGTCAGAAGTAAACAATTATGTTTTCATTTGACACAATATTAACTAATGATGTTGTCATGGATTTTTTGACCCATCAGATAAATTCATAATAGGAGACATTGAAAAACAGATGACAACAATGTTGCAACTTTTGATGTAATCTTAAAGGACTCTGACATTCAGGTATTAAATTATATCATAAAACAATCACTTGTTTTTTGGTCAATATTTTGTTTTGCAAAAAATAATAAATAAATAGCATTCTGCTGTGATAATAATTTAAGACTGAATTGTGTAAGTGATCAAAATGATCAAATATTCCAGTTGACTGGTTTATGTATATAAATGTTAAAAAGCATTTGTAAATACCCCAAAATGCAGGGGCATAGAAAAAAAATTAACTATATACGTGTTCTATGCTTGGAATCTGATATATCAGACATAAAAGATTAATTTGAGGATAAATTGAATGAGTTTTGGAGCAAAATGCAGCATTGTTTATTCCATGCAAGCATGCAGGAGAGATGGTGATGTGCATATGAATGACCTCAGAGAAAAGTCAGGTGAGATAATCAGATTGCACTGAAACAGTCAGCTAATTGACTAAATAATTTGGATTTGAGTGTTGGATTATTGTTTAAACTAATTTGTTCAAAGGGGCCCTGCTCTGGTAACCAAAAATCATACAAAACCCAGCAAAAATACCACACAAGTTATCAGATAAATAAATTGAATATATATATATATATATATATATATATATATATATATATATATATATATATATATATATATATACCTCAGTATTTATGTCAAATCCAGCTTCCAACAGGGTTTGAACTACTTGTTTTTGTCCATTTCTGCAGGCCAGGTGAAGAGGAGAGTGTTTGGAAGACTTCTCATTGACCAGTGCTGGACAAAACTTCAACAGAACCTGCACCGTCTCCAGGCGGCCATACTGGGCAGCTAAGTCCAATGGAGATTCTGCTCTGTTGTTCCTTATAGTAGGATCTGCTTTACTCTGAATGTGAATGGAATTGATATTAAAAATTCTTTAAAAACTTCAAACGCTAAAACTCGCAAAGGAATACATATGTGCAAATTCAAAACTACCATGATCAGGAGTGTTTCCTGTGAATATCAAAGAAGAGAGATTTTTGGCAATTCCTCTGTAAAGATTGGATAAATATATATGCAAATAATATGCAAATAGCTTCAAAAATAAAACATAACTCGTATCAATAAAGTTATCATAACAAATGAAGACTACTTCATTCAGTTTATGATATAAATGCTTAGTTGGTGAAATTCGCATCCTCATGCACTGCTGCTGGTTGACAATAGAAATATCTATTTTCATTTGATTCCATAACAAAGTTTCTGTATAGTAAAATACAAACATGACTGAGCATTTTATGAAACAAAATAATACTTTGCATTTTCATATGAATACTGCAGGAACACATTGCTGGGTTTATTTCATCAATCAGCTTTTACAAATAATGAAGAAATTCAATTGAGTTGATAATAACAATACTTCTTTTTACCTTATTATTGAAAAAAAAAACACCAACTGTCACTTCTTCATACTTCATGAGAATTAATTCCAATATAACATACTTTAAATTGGATATAAAAAAAAAATCTTATCTTTCCATTTCAGGCTGTCAAGAAGTACAAAGTGTTGTTAAATATTAAAACACTTTAGGCAGCATCTCTATCCGAATCAAAGAATATTCCCCTCTGATTTTCTATATTTTTATTCATGACAGTTTTATCTAATCATGATCAGTAATTACATCTGCATAAGGACAAAATGCAATATGATCCAGCTCAGTGATTCCTTTCAAGCAGTTTTTCCTCAGTTGGAATAAAACAAAAGCACCCTCAAAAAATCACTAAAGGTGCTAATGGCATAATCCCACAGAGTCTTCCTATTCTGCTAAAAACTCACTTTAATGACTAATGGCAAATACTCTTTAAGATTCAGATATTTCACTCTGGGAATACTTTTCTCTCTAATGATCACAGAATATCTTAGACATACACACTTTTTTTCAAAGATAAATTGTCTTGAATACCAAAATGAATCATGTGAACAGACACACAGAATAAAGAAAATAGTTTTGCTGAGACAATGGAAAATGGATCTGCAATATGAGAAACCAGTTTTTATTAGCTTTTGAAAATTGATCAGGAAGACTGCACACCTGCCAAAGCTGATGGAAGCTGCTTTACTGACGGCTGATTAACGCATGGTTTTCTTGCCACATATAACACAGCAGGGGAGTGCGAATTAAAGGAATTCACTAGATAAAATGTGAGGATGTTTCTAAAACAATATATAAATTAGGGCAAAAGAACTGATGTCCTAGATAAAACTTAATTAAGCTTACTTATCCATTCTTTTGGTTGTGATATCAACTAAACAACTACATCAGAAATGGATAAAATGGATTGTTTTGCCATAATGTGAAATTTCAATTACCAATCTCAAAACTGACAAAATCACATCTCCACACATGTCAAATGATTCAGTTGTGCCAGTAACTCAACTGCTCAGATTAGCAATATTGTTTCATGACGACATGTCACACAGGAAATTTAAGTGCTCAATCATTTTACCTTTGATGAATCTGTATGTGCATGTATACTGAGTAATTCACATGACTGAGATAAAAGCCAACTTTGATATCTAAAGGACAATGGCTGATCTGCACATCTTTAGATTGGTGTCACACATTTTAAAAATTCCTCTGGGAGACAGCCAATGTATTCTTGTTATCAGGCCCAAATTTTTTTTTTTGAAACAGTCATGCACTTTGTTAACTCAGAGGAAGAAGGAAAGGAAAATTACTTGCATTCATTTGTCTAACTATTTACTAATTTTACAAAGTAACTGTTATTTCATAGACGAGGGTCATTTCTTTTTAATTTTATATTTCATCAATTTATCTCACTATCAATTGGTCATGGTCTTTTATATACATCTCATAACACTCAGTGTGTAAAGTTAATAAACTCTCAAAACATACATTGCACCAGTACATATTGCTATGATATAGTGTTTGATGTATAGGCATTTAAAAAGCAGCTGATACACTCTTTAAGTAAAAGCGCTAGCCTATAGCCTTCATCTCTAACTTATCATACAGTATGCATCTTATCACTTACAGCTTAATCAGACATAATCAAACAGATTTATTTGGACCCTTGATTTACCTAGATCTCTATGGCATTGCATGGCCATTATTTGCAATCCAATCCAATCTCTCAAGCCTAATACATGTTAAGTTTCAATAAGTGAAAGGTGCACACATTTTTAGTAATTGTTGGGGGTCAGATTAACTAAATATCTCAATGTACAATATCTATTATACATCTGCCCACTTAGGGCACTGGAATCAGGTACTTTATTGATGATCACAGGGAGTGCTTGGAAGTCCCATTGATAAACTTATTACGCCATCATTCTGATGGCATCAAAATCTAGCTTGAATTTTGAGTCAATAAGAGGCAACAAGCTAGTTTAAGCCAAAACATAACACAGCAATATACAAATAAGTTGCTTTACATTGGAAAAATAGGTCAAATTCAAGAGTACATTTGATTTTGCCATGTTTATTTTCATGCTCAAGTAAGCGATTACTGTATTAGTATATCCCTTACAGATTTGAAAATTGTAAAAAGTTGAAATTTTTTAAAAAGGTGCTTTTTAAGTGTCATTTTTGGCTAAAAAATAAAAAGTTTAAAATACACAATAATGTTTGAAAACACAAAAATGTTTGTTTCAGTAAGACAAATCTATCCTCTTTCACATGAAAGATGATAACCCATTGTTGTTACTCAGTATCATGAACGTGCAGATATACATATATAAAGAATAATTGGATCATGTCCACATTTGAACTTGAATAGCCCTTAAGGCCCAAAAGCAACACCAGCAGTTTTCAACTTTAACATAATAAACATTTGGATGATGCAGTATCCACACTGCCAAATTTACTACATAAAATAATCATTTAAGTTCTGCAACAGTCATTGTCACCTAATTTGAAGAGCGTCTACACCATCTTCCTAATGAAAGTAAAAATAATATTATTCTGTTTATCTATATTTTTGGGATTACTAATTACATATGATATATGAGAGTGTATAAAATTGTAGTATACACTTAACAAGTGTGCAACTGCTACAAATTGCTAAAATTTTATCAAACTATAAATTACAATAACGACTGGAAAGTTACCATTTCTACTCACCTCAAGCAATACCCTCACTACTTTTGTATGGCCATATTGGGCAGCTGTGTGGAGTGCTGTGTCTCCTTCATGGTTCTGGATATCAATAAAATGTACTTTGATCATCAAAATAATATACACAGACTCCCAAATAATGCACATGTTCATAAAAGAGAAGAGAAACAAATCTCTACAAAATATGCTTACCAATTAACAAATGTGGAATACTATCCCAATTTTCTAAGACAAAATACCAATTTCAACAAAAAGATTTAACATACAATTAATTTAGAGAGGTTAAGATTTTTCTGCCCCACTAACAACAATGGTGTGCTTCCAATGTGGTCCATTCCATTAAATCTTATGGATGATATGATGAAAACAACACAAATCAATAAGGCCTTAAAGCTAACACAAACATCGACACATGTCATTTTCTGAGCAAACAATTCTAACAAAGTTAGCAGTCAAATTAAAAGATCCCAAAGTAAATGCTCTGATTGTAGTTCATTTTCACAAGTCTAGCACTTAACAAAGATTTAAGTGGTGCCATTGATTTTTACCATTAAAAAGAGATACATATCACATGACAGGACAAGGCAACCTAAATCTCAAGTAGTATACATACGGCACAATAGATGAGAGGTTTATAAGTATGCTTGATCCATTTCTATTAATTCAAGGCCAAAACAATGTAGCGTCAGGTGCAATGCAATAAAACAATGTAGCATCAGGTGCAATGCAATCAAGGTACATATATTAGACTCAATAATGAATGGTTTTTCCCTTTATTAGTTGGGTAATGTTAAAATTCAAATTTTGTCTGCATATAAATTTTTTCATGCCCATACAGTTAAGTTCTATTTATATTACCAATTTTATTTTATTTGTAACATTTTGATTTTAAATGCCATATTTTGTATCTTCATCTACTCTAAAAGTCATCAACAGGAGCTTATATTCATTCAAATAACTGATGTGACAACAGAAATCCTACTTTAAATTATACAACCTAACAAATGAATTAAAAGACAGTTTTTTCTTCAGGTTTAAAAATAACTCCAATAAAACCTACTAACAATGAATATGTCCAGTAATCAAAGATTTTACAATTTATTGAATTCATTATTATAAAATTAAAATGTTGGTAAATAATTTATTTATGGTGTATTACAGTAAACAGGCAGCATAATAACAAAGCAAATGAACATATTTGGCATTTTAATAGAACACTGTGCACTGTTGTAACCTAACATCATAATATCTTCATCAGAGTACACAGCCTTGTTCAAGATTACACTCTTTAAAAAGAGTTATGAAATATGGTGTTCTCACCTGTTCATTAACACTGGCAAATGATGGTCCCGAAGTGAGTAAGAGTTTGCAGATTTCATCATTTCCATTCCAGGCAGCAAGATGGATAGGATGACATCCTTTGTTGTCTGCAATGGTGGCACAGCCTTCATGTCTTAGAAGAGACTGGACAGCAGACCTGAGAGGAATAATTTTAGTATACTGATCAAAATTAATACATATAAAAATGAATAAATACAAATATTTAATAAATAGGCCCTTTTAATATTCAGATGATGGTCAAGAATTGTTCATAATCCATGACATATTCACTGTCATATTTTGAAATTTCATTTTTTATTAAAAAATTTTAAAATGTCTTTGCCCATTTACTATTAAATACCTTTGAAATATATTTTGAAAATTTATGCTTTGTTGGGTACAGCACAAAATGTTACCTGCATGGTTTAATATGCATATATTTATATAAATATAAAACCAATAATAAGAAAGATCAGATGTAGGAAGAGACAGTGTTGGGTGAACAAAACAGCAGACTAAAGAATGTTAGCAGGATATATCTCAAGTTGCGTGACAGCAAAGGGCAAGTGTTGATAATAACAGCTGGTGAATGATGGTGATATTGAAAGGAAAAGACAGGTGATAACAAGGGGAATGCTTCTTAGCAAATAATGAAAATACTGAAATTTCAAAAAGAGCCTTTTATTCTTCTAGTTGGGAGTTTTGTAGTTTTCGGAATTTTTGTAGCATCTTCAGTTTTTTTTTACAGAACTGACAAATACCAATGCCATATACTCACATATGTACAGAAGTACCACAGATGACACAGGTCTGACTTTCAATAACATAAAACATGTTACAGAAGCTCTCTTATTCTTCTAATGTATATTAATAAAACTTATATACTAGTACACGTGCTAGTATTTGTTTCCATTTCTTATCTTGGTTATGGCTCAGCAGGCCTTTCTTTGACTGACAGATTTGTTAATAAAGTGTACAGTAAGTATCTTGGGTGTTTCTGAGCAAATATAAAAGAGGCATTGTCTTCCAAGTCTTTCAATTAGAGAATGTATATTACATATTTCTGGTAAGTTAAAATTAAGAGGAGTTAATAATCTACATTACACAAATCTGAAAAGTATCTCATATGAATATATATACATTACTAGTAAGGGTAACAATAAAGTAAATACACATATTCCACTCACACATGTCCATTGAGAGCTGCATAGTGTAGAGGTGTTTCCCCATTGCCATCTTGACAACTTGGATTTGGGCCTTTCCTAAGGCTATAACAAAAATTGAAGATACTTATTTCTTCTTATTTCTTATAAAACTAATGAAACATGTTATGTACTATTAAATGGAATGATAATATAAAGTAAATAATATAATATTAAAAAAATCTACAGCACACACTGTGTAATTTAAATGTCTATATATATTGATAATCAATCATATTAAACGGCAAACAATCATGTCCCAAAATCAATTCACAGCTGATTAAGCTACTAATGCACAGTTAATTGTTGCCTTGATATCCACAGAACCACTTAACACCTATGTCTGCAAGAACTCTTTATTTCATTTCCTATTAAAAGTTTATTTTTTAAATTGATTGTCAGTGTCTCTTTTTGTAAATCACAGGCAGCTACCATAAGGGGGAAAAGGTAATATTTTCAAATTAATCTTTATTTCTACTTCTAATCACACAAAAGATGCTCTACATAAAAGGCCTTTATTTTAATATGTAATACATAAGGTGTAAATCTACATATGGCACTGAAATAAGCAAGACAATGTTAGGATCAAGACTATACATATATAGCTATGTATGTCAGGTAATTTCTTATGCAGTAAACTGAAGTCCCACAGGAACTGCCACAGATGGCTGCATTCATTAACAAACGATAATGCAACGATGATCAGTTGAACTGGCTTTAAGCCCCTTCCAAGTCTATCACTATTTATTGATTTCAATCCTCTCCGCATATGCAGCTCTGTCCCAGTTGGCTACTTAAGATTTACAGCTAACCTGAAAGGCTGATTGGAATATTTCCTTTCATTTCCTGGAAGGAATCTATCAATTACCATAACAGGTTAAGATTTCATTAAAGTAAAGATTTCACTAATCTATGACTAAAAACTCATATTTCATAGAGCAAGTGACCCTTTGATATTCTTACTGCCAGTAATTTCATATTGCATCTTGGCATGCAAAGCAAGGTTTATATTGATGAACTAAAAAAAAAAAATAGCTATCATGTTCTTTGTTCTTTGGCTTCAATATTAGCACTGTATGTACAATCAAATACCAGTATGAAAGGCACAAGATGAATTTTTTATTTGCCATTTTCACAACTGGCATAAAAATTATTGAAATGATACATAAAAATTAGAATGGACCCATAAAAGTGTACATTTCTTTTTTTGTTTATTTCCACAATATGATTGGATAAAAAAATTAGCCTGGCTGTCAGGGCAGCAGTAGCACTGTGCAAAGTGTAAACAAAGTTGTAAGTACAGTACCTGTTGAACCAATTACGTAATGCTCTGTCGTTCAAAAACTACTTTTTTCCATTTCGTCCTTTGGTAAATACTACATAATAATGATAAGGACCAAAGTCAAACCAAGTCATATTAAGCTCTGGGGTTAGCTTTATTTCCACCAGTTCCAAAAGTTTTACAAACTTTATTTCACAATTTTAACGTTACTTCCTGTTTTAGAAAAATGCACTTCAAGCAACAAGTAATACCTTGACAATGGCCCAAGTGGTACTTTTTTCGTCTTATGATGACCCAATATTCGTTCTATTTGTTCAACCTGTCCATTTCTGGCAGCTTCCAGTAAATCGTGATCCTTGCCCATTGTATGGATCCACAGATGTCCTGTTATAAATTTAGGTCATTCAAATGAAATGGCCCTTCCCAAAACTTAACACAGGAATAAAAATATTGTTTCACGCTTATTTTCAGAGCTGTTGATTTCCCTTACGCGTCCAGAGATGTAGAGATGTATATTGCCTACTTAGATGAAAGTTCGCAACAGCTTAACAACTTTTGTAAGGGCTACTGTTCCCACACCATTGCCTGGCAGTCTGTCGATTTCAATGTTACTCCACGGTGTACATGAAGGATTATCTTGGTAGGCTACCACCTGGTGGCTAACATACAAACACCTTATGTAAAAAGTTTTCTCATAGGTTAAAATGCTTTACGATTGGAACCAAATAGCCAGTAAACATTGCTTTCTCAACCCACATTTCCTGTGACGTCATTTCAACCTTTGAGCCAGTGACGTAGATAGAAAACAGTTTTGACAGGACAGACAATTTTTTCAAGAGGGTTTATTGCGTTCAGACCAGAATCTGCTCTTTAATGTAATTTTTCGAACAATTGCAGTATGACGAGACCTCTCACTGTGGTAAGTGTGCCAGCGTTGTAGTTCAGGTGTCTCGTTTATATTAAAATCCTACATTCTGTCAGTGAAAAGTTGTAAACATCTGTGCGCAAGCTATTTTTAGTAACAAAACGTAAACAAAGGCAATGGTGGAGCAACTATTTGACGTAAAAGAATCTGTGACTTACTACATATTTGTATTTGTAAGAGGAATGAATTTCTGTTTTTTTAAATAATTTATCATGCTCTTATAGTGGCCATAAACTGTTATACTTTCTTAAGGTAGGCACGTGGATCTTGACCAAGGTCTTGTGATGATGACTAACGATAGTTGCTTTGTGTTAGAGAAATACGTGGGAGAACTGACGGTCAAAGTCCAGTGCCTCATAATCGTGTATATATACTTTAACTATTGTACCTTTGCTGCCAGACGTATATACCACTTAAATCTCTTTCTGTTATAATATATATATATATATATATATATATATATATATATATAATCTGATATGTCATCTGATATTATGAAAAACTTGTGTATTTTGCGCTATTTAGTACTGACGTTGAACATGAAATTATCCTCATTTCTACCTGTTCCCTCACTAAAAATGGAAAGAAGACAGCCAAGAAATTTATATTTATATATTTATGCACGGGTTTTGGTTATTAAATGTTGAACAATTTATTGACAGTGCTTTCAATTTTGGTCAAGAGAAATTACACAAGAACACATTGTACACTATGTAACATTAACTAAAACACTTACCATGTTAAGGCAGAAGTTAAAATAGTACACCAAGAAAAAAAAAAAAAAAAAATATATATATATATATATATATATATATATATATATATATATATATAATCACACACACACACATATATATATATATTTTATTTTTTAATTTTCAGCTGAAGTCTGTGGGTCCGAAACTAGTCCCTTTCTTCAAAACATTGGCTATCTATTTTGTGCTATTTGGGGATGAAGCTTCCTATGGGTCCATCTTCTATGCCATCATCAAGTGCTTGCCAGTGATATCATTGATAGTGTTTGTGTTGCTTCATGGCATGAACTTGTCAGAGTATTATGCATACTCCAGACGAATCCTTGCTGGCTTGATCTTTTCCTGCCTTGGGGATATATTCCTGGTATGGAAACACTATTGCTTTGAACATGGATTGGCAATGTTTGCTGTAGCCCAGCTCCTGTATGCTTCTGCATTTGGAATGAGGCCTCTAAACCCATGGGCAGGATTAGTAATCAGTTTCCTGGGATCTATTGTCTATACCATCTTGTCTCCTGGGTTAACTGGTATAATGAACATACTGGTCCCCATGTACCTCATCCTCATTTTGTTCATGGCCTGGAGGGCAGTGGCCAGGGTCCAGCTCTTTGATGACCTGTGGACTTGGACCAAGCTGTGTGGATGTGCTGGCTCCATTGCTTTCCTCATCTCCGATTTAACCATTGCATTGGATAAGTTTGTCATGCCTATTCCATTTGGTCACACTATCATCATGACAACATATTATGCAGCACAATTCGGAATAGCACTATCTGTAGTGGACAGCCCTATTGATGTCTTGCTAAAGAAAACCAGTGAGGAAAATGGATTGGCTAACGGGCAGCACAGTCAATTAAAAACTGACTAAGAGGAAGGGTTGGATCCTGTTTTTCAACTTGTACATTCAGTTTTATTCAATTGTCTATCACTCATTTGATAATATATGATTTTCAGAAATGCCCCCGTTGTCTAGAAAATACATATATCAATTTAATTTAATTGAGAGAACTTCAGAGAAGTAAATGAAGTAAGGGCATATAATGGATACGTAGTTTAAGAGGTTATTAAGAACTAAACTTAAACTTTAATCTCTTGGAGGTTATGTAATGGTGCTGTCAATACTGGGTTGTTATTGCACTATCAATGCAAATGTATGAATCTGAGCATATTTACCATTTTAGTATTTTGTTCATATATACTCTTTAACTTATAAACAATTATCATTCTCCACTTAAAGTAGGAGATTCACCTCAGATGTTTTTATTAGAGATTCTTTTTTATTAGCCTGTTCTTATTTGTATCCATTATGACTTATTGTTGAAGCTAAGTATTTTGTTACTAAGATTTTAAAATATTTGCTGTCAAAAGTCTAACTTCATCAAACATACATTTGAAACAGATGGCTCAGAGTTTTGGGTTCAGAGCCAAATTGCGAGCATGAACATGACATTGAAAAAGAAGTATGGTTGCTAGTTGGAATCGCTGTTTTTATAGGTATACTTTAGGGTAGAGAGAGGGGCTTTGATATCATCTGGAAAAAAAAATTTAATAAAACATAACTTCATTTGATACTGAGGCCATATCAAAACTGTAATGTATGCAAAAATCTATTGATGGACTGAAAATTCAGTCAAGTTCAGCATTTGATACCAAATTTTGTTTTAATTTAGCAATAATGACAATAGTAATACAACAAAACAAAAAGATGTTACATATCATTATACTTTCAATTTGCACTTGCATTTTCTCTAGCACAAAATGTATTTCTTATCTCACAATTAACATTTTCATTACAAATTTTAGTCCTAAAATATGGTCTTTTAAAAAAGACAAACTATGTTATGACAGTATTTCTTAATGGAGATCTGCAGAGCCTATTGAATTAGATGAGCCTCTGTTGTATGGTTCAGATAAGTAAAATTTCTTAAAAGGCTTTCTACTTATGAACTGTAAACTCCATGGATTGCAATTCTGAAGTCTTTTTGGACTCCATAGAGTTTTACTAACATTTTGTTTCTTAGCGTTGTTCATTTTACAAAATAGTTAGAAATAAATAAAAATCATAAAAACTACACAGTATTTACATTTTTAAGGTGGGAATGTAGGTTTGAGATTTTCTCTTAAAATAAA